CTTCCAAGAAAGGAAGAGATTTATTTCAAAGTGTAGGTACTTTCTTTGGGAGGATCTGTACCTTTTCCATCTCGGAAAGGACGAGGTCATTAGGCGGTGTGTACCCGAGATGGAACAACACGACATTTTGACCGCATGCCACTCGTCGAATTGTGGAGGCCACTTCGGAGGCCAGAGAACGGCATTCAAGGTGCTTCAAAGTGGATTTTATTGGCCGACGATCTTCAAGGATTCCCACGCCTTCTCAACTTCGTGTGATCGATGTCAACGCTCGGGGAATATTGGGAGAAGGAATGAGATGCCCCTTAACACGTTTCTTCCGGTTGAGATCTTTGATGTTTGGGGGATAGACTTCATGGGACCCTTCCCGAGTTCCCATGGGTTTGAGTACATTTTGGTTGGCGTGGAGTATATCTCGAAGTGGGTGGAAGCCATCCCGGCTAGAGCTTGTGATGCCAAAGTGGTGGTGAAGTTCGTGCAAGATCACATCATCAACCGTTTCGGCTTCCCGCGGGCTATCATTAGTGATGGAGGTTCTCATTTTTGCAACCGGATTTTCAAGAAGCTTATGGAGAAAAATGGGATCGCCCACAAGGTTGCTACGCCTTATCATCCTCAAACCTCCGGGCAAGTCGAAACGAGTAACAAGCAAATTAAGGCTATTCTCTAGCGAACCGTGAATTCCTCTCGACGTGATTGGTCTCAAAAGCTCGGAGATGCATTATGGGCACATCGCACGACTTACAAAGGTGTTCTAGGTATGAGTCCTTTTCGTTTGGTTTATGGAAAAGCTTGCCACTTGCCGGTGGAAGTCGAGCATAGAGCCTATTGGGCTATCCGGACCATTAATTTCGAGCTCGGCTTAGCCGGGAAGGAGCGACACTTGCAAATCAATGAGTTGGATGAGCTACGAAATGAGTCGTATGAGAATGCCCGGATTTTCAAGGATAAGGTCAAGAAGTGGCACGATTCTAAAATTCTAAGGAAAGAGCTCAAAGCCGGGATGAAGGTACTTCTTTTTAACTCGAGACTTTGTTTATTTCCCGGTAAATTAAATTCAAGATGGAGTGGTCCGTTCGAAATTGAGGAGGTATTTCCCTCGGGGGTCGTCAAACTTTTTAATCCAACCGATAAAACATCCTTCCAAGTGAAC